CTTCTTCTTTCTCCCTCTTTTGTAGTCCATCTTTATACCATGTTCTTTTTTTTTTAATTTTTAATTTTTTTGCATTTATCTTCAGATAGAGCGGGAAGGAGAGAGGAAGGGAGAGAGAAACATCGATGTGAGAGAGACACACGGAGTGGTTGCCATCCACATGACCCCAATGGGGCCAGGGACAAACTGCAACTGAGGTACAGGAACCGAACCTGGGGCTCTCTGGTCTGCAGGCCGACGCTCTAACCGCTGAGCCAAACTGGCCAGGGCTTTAATTTTTTAATTAATTTGTTTTTGTTACAGATGTTTCTCCTTTCCCCCCCCATTGACACCCTCCTTCCGACCCCTCCATCCCATCCCCCCACCCCCATCCCCAGCATTGTTGTCTATGTCCAAGGTTACGCATACATGCATTTAAGTTCTGTGGTTTATTTCTTCCCTCCCATGACCCGCTCTTCTGAGGTTTGTCAGTCTGTATCCTACTTCTGTGTCTCTGGATCTATTTTGTTCATCAGCTTGTTTTGTTCATTATATTTCACAAATAAGTGAGATTATGTGATATTTGTCTTTCTCTGATTGGCTTGTTTTGCTTAGGATAATATTCTCCAGGTCCCTCCACATTGTCTCAAAGGATAAGAGATCTTTCTTTCTTATAGCTGCATAGTATTCCATTGTGTATATGTACCACTCAAAGGGGTATATATGTTCTTTCTGATTGGTGTTTCAGGCTTCTTCCATTGTATGCTCTTGCCACCTTTGTCAAATATTAATTGAGCATAATTTCTTGAGTCAATTTCTGGGTTCTCGGTTTCCTGTTCTTCTATGTATTGCTTTCTACCTCTGTAGTTTTTGTGTATATAATGATACACCCTAAAGACAGGGATTGTGACTTAGTCATATTTTTGTCCTCATGCTGCTAAGAATAAAGCCTTGGGGAATACTTTACATATGGTAAGATCATGATTTTCTGTTGCTTAATATCTCCTAATGCTCCAATGGTTTCCCATGTCACTCAATCAATGACAGAAACTCATCATAGGCCTATGTGGTCTTTTTTTTTTCATCCTCACCCGAGGACATTTTTCCATTTTTTTTGTTCAGATAGAGTGGGAGGGAGAGAGAGGAAGAGAGAGAGAGAGAGAAACATGGATGTGAAAGGGACACATCGAGTGGCTGCCACCTGCACGACCCAACCAGGGCTGGGGACAAACTGCAACTGAGGTATGTGCCCTTTGTGGGAACTGAACCCAGGTCTTTCTGGACCGCAGGCCGATGCTCTAACCACTTAGCCAAACCAGCCAGGGTGGCCTATGTGGTCTAATAGATCGAATGTTCTCGTTACCACTCTCCTTTTGCTCCTTGCTGTTCCTCGACCACCTCAAACAAGATCCCACCTTGGAGCCTCTGCGTTTGCTATCCTCTTTATGGGGACACTTTCCCCAGATATCTGTATGGCTTGCTTTCTCAATTTCTTAGGGCTTCCCTCCAAGGCCACTTTCTCAACGAGGCCTTCCCCAATCACTTTATTCACATTGGGACCCTTGCAACATTCTCTTTCCCTCTCCCCTGATTGTTGTTTCTCCATAGCACACATCACCTCCTTACATAATATATACTTTCCTCATTTATTGTGTTTGTCTCCCCTACTAGAATGTAAGCTTCATCCTAGTTTAAATCTGTTTACTTCTGCATCCCCAGAGCCTAGGACAAAGCCTGGCATATCAAAGACACTGAATAAATATTTGTTGAAAGAAAGCAAGAATAATTAAATTAATAGGTGTTCAAAAAATATTTGTTAAATTGAATGAAAAGCGTCTGCAACAGATGGCTGAAATTTCCAAATCCTAAAACTATGTTGGCTTAGGAGAATAGTGAAATTGAGTGAAAGCTGCCTCACCATAAACATCCTCGAGAAAGGATTAAAATTGTGTACTTGTGGTGGGAGGGGCAGCTGAGCAAGGCAATCACCTTTGAGAGACATTCAGGGCTGCACAGCTTCTCCCTGAAAGGACTGCAGCTGGGAGCCAGCTAACCCCACCACTTGCCCTCCCACCCTACTTGGACACGGTCCACCACACAGGTGTTTTCTTTTAAGTTATTTTGGTCTTCACCTCTCTCCTCAGCTTGTGAAGAACGCAGAAATCTTGGGTGGTTTACATGACACTTCTCAGGTCTAACTAGGAAACTACCAGGAGTAAAAATGACAAAAAACATCACCCATGACTAGATTTTGGATCTTGGGGAAGCAGATCCCGTTGTAGAACAGTGCAGAGGGGAACTTTCTGTCTCCTACTCAAGCTCCGCCTTTACACTGTTTATCTGAAATGTTTCTCCCCGCCTCACTCTTTTGCAGCCGCCTGCTTTCCGCTGGAGGATGGAGCTCTGATCTCCACCTTCCCTCTTCCCTCCAGGACCCATAGTATTTTTTTCACGCTTGGCGGCTACTACAGCAGACGTCTGCCTTCTCTTTATTTGCTGTACAGATCTCCAGATCTCCGGTGCCTTGACTGTAAACAAAACACTTTAGCTCATAGCAAGGTCGATGTTAAGCGCAGCTTTTCTGCTGGCAGCCAGATATCTTAAGGTGGCGTGACTGTGACTCGTTTACTTTTCAAGATTAACAAAACAACAAAATGGTGCTCTACATATTAACTGAAGGAAGATTCAGCATGTATGGTGAATAGAAGTATTACTTTTCTACTTTTATGCAGGCTATTGAGACCACAAATAAAATGAAACTCTGTGGCAAGGTGTAATACTCTCTAGAGTGTCTCCATTTACATCTATGTGGTAATTTGTCTATTAACCCATGTGAATATATGCTTACACATAATATAGAATTCCTGTGTAGTCTACCAATTATTTTAACGTTTCAACAACAATGATCTAATTTCAGGGATGGGGTATAAATTATGGTACTGAGGCCTACCCTAACTGTCCTGTCCCTCTCCTCCTCTTCTCCAGTCTAGAAAATTAAGTGGGGCATTAAATGTAGAAAAATAAAGATGAGAACCACCTACTTTGATCCCAGGTGAAATATTCTGTGTCAGGTAGGAAGTCCTGACTTTGAAACAAGTATGGGGCCCTCTGGGTATCGGATCACCCCTGTCCTTTTGGAATCTGAATTTTAGTTGAACTAGTGGATGGTGATACCAAAGGCCAGTGACAACTGCATTTAAATATCAGTGACCACGGGCCACATCAAGAAAACATCTGCAGGCAGCCCAGGGCATGAGAAGGAGCCATTTTGAATCACTTGTAAGAGAGAAGACCTGCAGATTACAGCACAGGAGAATCCAGACAAAAATCTGAACCAGTTGGGGCCATCAGGTAGGAAAGAAACAAAATGAACCAGCCTGAGAGAGGGAACCTGTGTCTAGTGCTGGCTCTGCGACCCATTGGATGTGTATCCCTGGACAGGAATCCTCTGAGTCCTCAGTGGTAAAAAGAGAGGGGTGAACCACAGGGTTGCAAAAGTCTCTCTGAGTCCTAACATTGTGGTGTGTGTGAGGTGAAGCATGCACACAGACAAGTGCTATGTGGTCTAGAAAAGTTAAAAATCAAACTCATCTATAGCATAGTGCCTAAGAAAACACTGCTGCTGTGGATTGTTAGAATAGGAGGAGATTAGTATCCAGTAAAATGTATTAACTTTGGCCCAAACCAAGATTAAATGTATAGGGTGGGGGTGGTGGACGTTGAAGACCCACTGAAATCTGTAATGTAACAGCCCTGTGCATGCCGTTTTAACTTTCACCACCGTGTTCAAGACCATACTGATAAGGTAAATTTCAGGTTGCCAAGGGGAGCAGAAAAATGCCTGGGTAAAATCAGTCATAAAGACATGGTTGTGGTAGTTTTATAAATCACTTCATAATCTGGACTTTCAGTTTATTTTCACCCTCCAACTACTGCCCTCCAAAGGCATTCACTTGGCATCTGAATGTTGTTCTGGGTGGGAGAAGTGAATCTGGAGAAAAAGGTGGAGGAAGGAAGGAGCTGTTGTAGTTGGCGTCTGGACTCAGGTAGAGGAAACTGCTACAACCCAGGAAAGAACTGAAAAATACAAAGAGACGAGTTCCCACACGCAGCCCATGTTAACTGCTTTAATCGTGTTTGGGAAGCAAGAACCTGGGCCAGGGGTGTAATCTCACTTTTTTAAACTAAAAGTGTCCGAGACAGTTACAGAGTTTTTAGAGACTTGGGAAACCAGCTGAGTTTTTTATCTTGAAATCTTATTTTTATTAAGGGAGGGCTTAGGTTCAGAATACACACTATTATAAATGCTGCACCTACTCCAGGCTAATTTGTAGAAAGATATTCGCCTTGACTTCTTCCCTAGGCCCCGTGTCCCCTAGAATAACTGAGACTTCTAGAGTAAGGGTGAGCTAACCACTGTCCCCCCCACCCCCACCCCCACCCAGCTAAGGCACCCAGGCAGAGGGGCTCCCAGCCCTCAAGTCTGTTATTTCTCGGTCTCCCCTCGCACTGCTAGAAGTTGGGGCAGCGGTAAGAGCCCAGCTGCCGGCAGAGCCCCCAACGTCTGCCTCCGCCCCCCAGCTGCCAGTAGTGCGGGAAAAACAAGATCGCTCAAGGCGCACAATAAGCTGCCAGCAACCTTCGAGGTCATCTGGTCCAGCTCTTCGTCTCCCCGGAGAGGAGCGGGAGACCCGGGCTCCGGACGGCCGTGCTTGCGTCCGCGCAGCGCCGGGACCAGAATTCAAGGCCCGCCGCCCCGGCCCCTCCCCACCTTCCTGGCCGTTTGGCTAGTTTGTTTGTCTTATTTTTAATTTCTCCGAGGCCAGCCGGAGCAGGTTTGTTGGCAGCAGTACACCTCCAGCAATCACGGGACCAGCCAATCTCCGGGCGGCGCTCTCGGACTCGGCGCTCTCGGGGAGGCGGGGAGGCGGCGGGATCGCGCCGGGGCCACCTTAAGGCCGTGCTCGCCAGCCTCGGCGGGGCGGCTCCCGGCTCCGCGACCAATGGATCTCCTCCGCTGTTTAAATAGACTTGCGGTGTCAATCATTTTCTTCTTCCTCAGCTTCCCTTCCACCGCCATATTGGGCAACTAAGAAAAGGGGGCTCGTCTTTTCGGGGTGTTTTTCTCCCCCTCCCCTCTCCCCACTTTCTCGCCCCTCTGCCACTCGGACGCCGGCAAGGTTAGGAGAGCCGCTCGGTTCGCGGGACCCGCGGGCTTGCACCAGCCAGGACTTGGACTGGCTTTGCCACCCCCGCCTCTTGCCTCTCCCCTCCCCTCCCCGCCCTCCCGCTCGCCTGTACACTTGATCGGCGGAGACTTTGGGCTGCCTGGCCCGGGCTTCCCCCTCACCCCCTCCCAGACCCAGCGCGCTCCTGACGCTCGCCAGTTACTTGTTGGGGTTTGTTTCTCTTGGCTCCCAGGGCAGTCGCAGGGCTTATAAGAGGGGTTCGGGCTGAGTCTGGGCGTTTTGTTTTGTTCGGTTTTGTTTTCTGAGAGCGCGCGAGAGGCGGTCGTAAAGACCTGGGAGGAAGATGTCAAACGTGCGAGTGTCTAACGGGAGTCCGAGCCTGGAGCGGATGGACGCCAGACAGGCGGAGTACCCCAAGCCCTCCGCTTGCAGAAATCTCTTCGGCCCGGTGAATCACGAAGAGTTAACCCGGGACTTGGAGAAGCACTGCCGAGACATGGAAGAGGCAAGCCAGCGCAAGTGGAATTTTGATTTTCAGAATCACAAGCCCCTGGAGGGTAAATACGAGTGGCAGGAGGTGGAAAAGGGCTGCTTGCCCGAGTTCTACTACAGACCCCCGCGGCCACCCAAAGGCGCCTGCAAGGTGCCTGCGCAGGAGAGCCAGGATGTCAGCGGGAACCGCCAGGCAGTGCCTTTAATTGGTTCTCAGGCAAATACGGAGGACACACACTTGGTAGACCAAAAGACTGAGGCGTCGGACAGCCAGACAGGCTTAGCGGAGCCGTGCGCTGGGATGAGAAAGCGACCTGCAGCAGACGGTAATGACCCTCTCAAAACCATAAAATGTCTGTCTGTCTGGGGCACCGCCTTGCCTGCTTGCGGGACTTAACCCATCAGCTTCCTTTCCAGCATTCCCTGATGTAGCTTCTTGGGAGAGATCTTTCGTAATCTTAGGTTGCGAGTGCTGTCTGATTGCTTCTCTGTGTGTGATTTGTAAATCAGAAGCCTGCGATTGTATTATCTGATAATTTTACTAACCGAAAACATCTCAGATCCTCTCGTCTAGCGAGCGGTAGGTATGTGACAACGTTGGGATGTTTATCATCGGCCTCCCTCAACGCTTTGGAGAGCTTTGGGGCGTAGCAAACACTATCTGTTATGTGAAAACAACCTCACTTTGTGCCCTTAAAGGCAACTCAGAATGACGGATCCAGGATTGTGGGTGGAGGTGGTGGGTTTTTCGTCCCCCGACTATTGAGCCAGTGTCTGCCAGTCATTGTTTTTTCTAATAAAGATTGTATGTGTTCTTTAAAAAAATTCCCTCTTGTCCCTAGATGCCTCTACTCAAAACAAAAGAGCCAACAGAACAGAAGAAAATGTTTCAGACGGTTCCCCAAACGGAGGTTCAGTGGAGCAGACGCCCAAGAAGCCTGGCCTCAGAAGACGTCAAACGTAAACAGGTTGGTTATTACTTACTACCAGCAAATAACTGACTCCCGAATTGGGCTGCAGGAACTCGAGAGCTTTCAAACCCCAAGATAACCCGATCTTAGTGGTTACTGGCAGCGAGTTTGTGGGTTTTAGTTTGTTTATATTTTGTGAAGTCAAAAAAGTAGGAATGGGAAGGCTGGGAATCACTGTGGGGATACTGTATTTCTTCTTCACAGTTTCCATGTCCTGAGGTCATTTTCCCTTGAAACATGAAATGAATAGAGCAAGTGTCCCAGGCAAGTACTTGTGATCAGGGCTCTGTGGGTAGAAAGGTCAGTTCCCTGTGAGTCCCACCAAAACATGTTGGGAACAATAGGTTCTTTCCTCATCTGAACAAGACCTGGGTATGCCTCAGACCCACTTCATAGGAATTCATTTCCCAAAGGTTCAAGTTGAGTCACTAACATATTCTGGCCCATGCGTGGAAAAATAGCAAGTAAATGATTAAATTTAAATTTTGAGGGAAATGTTAGCTACAAATGGCTCATATTTGGTTAATCAAATAGAAATGCAAGAAGAGAGGTATGTTGTATTCTTTCTATCTTTTTCTTTTTCTGTCACTTTCCCTCTTTTCTGATAAGTTTTGGAGACAGAGAAGGAAGCTGCATATTAACAAAAAAATATAAAGCTAAAAAAAAAAAAAAAAAAAAAAAGTACGAAGGTTCCTACAGAAGTTCTGATAACACTCAACTTGCAAAGCAGAAGTTAAATGAACTCTGCCAGAGTAAGCAGTCCAGGAACACGTCAGCATGTGTATGCTAATCACGCTATAACACAATGATTTGGATATTTGTAGGGAAAATGGCCAATAGACATTAGGGCTGGCAAGGACGTGGGTCTATCCCCATCAAGTGGGTCTATCCCCAACAAGAGAAGTAGAGATTTTTCCATTTGCTAAAATCGATCAATATAATAGCTAATTTGAATAACTCGTCCCTCAGCTTTACATGGATTGGCTATCCATAATAATCAAAATACATATATTAATAGTTTATTTCTTATAGACTGTGACCTTTCCCCCCCTTACATGCTCATAGCCTAGCATATAAAGAGATCTTAATAGATGTTAATACTAACTTTTAAAATCCTCATTTATAAAAATTTAAAAATAAAGAATCATAGGGATTAAGGTGGAATTCAAGTGTGTTGTGTGTTTAAATAATAATGTCATATATATGACTTCTTCACATACATCTGATATTTTTCAGAGTTTATACAAATGGCACTATAGAACCTCTATATTACAGCTGTATAGGAAGTGGGAAAATTGGATGAAAAACTGTTCTGATGCAACCTTACCACCTACAGCAATTGTTGGTTTGTGACTTGTGGCCTAGCTCATCAGATGAGCCACAGTAAATCAGACTGACTGGATTTTGACCTGGTCCCATTCTGACACAGAGAGGCATTTGTTAGTAAACATTGCCAGTTCAGAGAATACTAGAAATAATAGTAAGGCCTTATTTAGAAGCATTCATGTATGTATTCTGCATATGCCTAAGAAACTAGAATATTAAAAAAAAAAAAAAAAAAGTGTTAATAGAACTTTTTTGGAGACTCTTTTTAAGTTCTCTTTTCCATTGTTTTTCCAGTTTAGAAAATTTTGCAACTCTTAAGTGTTACAGTTTCTTAATTTTCCTGTCTCTGTTCTTTCTCACCATCTTTGACCTCGATTCTCTAGACCAGGGTTTCTCAACCTCTGCACTATTGACATTTTGAGCCAAATAAGTCTTTGTTGTGGGAAGTTGTCCTGTGCATTGTAGAGTGTTTGGCAGCATCTCTGGCTTCTACCCACTAGATGCCAGTAGCAAACCCCCTGCCCCCAGTGTGACAACAAAAAAATGTCTCTAAGCATTGCCAAATGTCCCCTCGGGGACAAAATTGCCCACTGTTGAGAACAGTGCTGTAGACAAAAGTACACAACACAGAGGAGAGCAAAATGCGTGAAGGAAAGAAACACTGGTTAGAGATAACTATAGTCATCAACTTTTAGTACCTGTGTATACTTTCTTATCTATCACTCAGATATTTCCCAACTAAGACAGTGACAAAATAATTCCCGTACTTTATTGGCAATGTTATTCTAGTGCTTTTCTCCTAATTCTTTCCTCTGTTTCTCTTGCAGAATTGAGAATATGTTTCCTTGTTTATCAGATACATCACTGCTTGATGAAGCAAGGAAGATGTGAATTAAAATTTTTAAAAACATACTGCAGACTCCATGGAATGGACGTCCTGTATAAGCACTGAAAAGGAACAACACAATAACACTAAAATTTTAGGCATTCTTAAGTGATCTGCCTCTTAAAGCATTGGATGTAGCATTGTGCAATTAGGTTTTTCCTTATTTGCTTCATTGTACTACCTGTGTATATAGTTTTTATCTTTTATGTAGCACATAAACTTTGGGGAAGGGAGGGAAGGGTGGGGCTGAGGAATTGGCATGGGGGTTTCAATGAAGAGCTTGCTTTGATTTAGAGCAAGGAGAAAAATATTTGACTTTCATGAAAAGAAACAGTTTAGGGAAAGGGTTTGAATTTTTTTCTTTAAAGATGTAATGTCCCTTTCAGTGAAATCTGATACTTCATTTAAAAAATTATCCAAATTTGAACATTGGTTACAAATAATTGCTATTTATTTTCGCATGAAGCTATTTTCTCATTTGGGAGCTCTGATTATTCCATTACGTAGCAACAAATGGCTTTTTTTTTTTTTTTTTTTTAAACAACAGCAGCAACAAAACTCTCCTCAGTGCTCCCCTCTAGGCCCCCTTAAAATTGGAATTTACCAGTTAATTATTCAGCAGTTAGGTAATCACTACAGGTAATTCTGGGCAAAAAAAAAAGGGGGTGGGGGTGGGGGAAGTTCTAAATGCTCAAAACCGACAGTCTAGTTTTTATCAGATTTGTTGAGAAAATTTCTTAATTTTCATTTAGGGCTGTGTAGACACAATCAAAATAATTCTAAGCCCTTGGATATTTAAAAAAAATTGTAAGTAACTTCACATAAAAAATAATGAAATAATTAAATTTAAAGCTTCATATTCTATTTGCTAATTTGCCCAAAGGAAAATGGTGTTTTAAGAGGAAAGTGTGTATAGAAAAAAGCCTGTATGATAGAAGTGAAATGGATACTACATCTTTAAACAGTATTTTTACATTGCCTGTGTATGTATATGAAACAAAACCATTTGAAGCATACCTGTGTACATAACTCTGTAAAGACACTGAAAAATTATACTAACTTATTTATGTTAAAAAAAGATTTTTTTTTTTTTAATCTAGACAATATAAAAGCCAAAGTGGCATGTTTTGTGCATTTGTAAATGCTGTATTGGGTAGACTAGATTTCCTCTCTTCTATTAAATAATACGGCTGTGCTTAAAAGGTTGCATACTGAGCCAAGTATAATTTTTTTTTGTAATGTGTGAAAAGATACCAATTATTGTTACATATCAAACAATCAATAAAGAAAACTTCCATAGCTATTAATTGAGTTTAACTGTATGTACTATGCTTCACTAAGCTTGAGGTATTTGACCTGGTATTCTAATCATATTTACACAAATATAGTATGAAGTGGTAAATACCTAGATGATTCAGGCCCACAACCCAGATGATGTTTTTGTGGGTCCGAATGTAGTAGTAACTATTTTCCACTTAGTTCTGTAGGGGTGGACAAAGCTTTAGAAGTATAAAGTGGAAAGCCGTATTTTCATACAGATAAGATTGTTAAAGTCTCCATTAGTTCAAATATTTATGACTTCTAGGATATGAATGTGTCAGAACCAAAAATTCTTACATAAGTATACACTGATCACACATTTGCAGGATTGAAAATGAAAGTAACTGGTGACTGCATGTATAAATAGAGAATTTAGAGAAAAGTGTTATGAGGAATTAGAGCAATTGTTCAGATCATCTAATCTACACCTCTTGTCCAAAATATTCCGATTTATAGGCCCTTTAGAAATTAGTGTGCATTCCATACTAATTTATATAAAACGTATTCTTCAAATTAAACATCATCACACAAATTCCTAAATTTATAAATTTCGTGGTAATAATCTACACAACCAAAGACTGGTTAAACAAAATCTGTGGGTTTTAGGTCCCCATATTCCCATAGCAGAGATAGATAATTTTTACTTAAATAAGAAAAAAAATTAAGACATTTTAAAGTTAGACTTACTAAAATGATTACTGTAATTTTACATTCTCTTCAAAACGTAAAAGCAAATTGTTTTTTCTAGGAAACTGCAAATGGTTAAATAGCAAAAATTGAATTTGAGTTAAATTGTTTCCCTCAAATAGTTACATTTACGTTGTTGCACCCCAAAAGGGGCTCTAAACAAGATAGTTTTAGCTTATGTTGACCCGAAGTTGCGTATGTGAGTGTGTGTGTATGTGTGTTTGTGTGTGTGTGTAAAATAGGGTTGACTCTACAGCTGCCGGGAAGGGAAAAGTGGTAGGTCCTTTAATGGCTGGGCTACGTTTTCCAAGTAGGTATTATTTTAATTAAAAACCGAAAGGTATTTTTGTGATTCTATTCAAAACATGTATACAGGGTGTTTTTCAGGAAGACACCGAGAAAGTAAGAAAAACAATTCAAAACGGAGGAAGGAGTGGAGGGAGAATCAGGAAATAATGAAATAAAATTAAAGTTTCTCTGAGCCAAAAAAGGTATTTTAAAAAGTGTCTAACAGAGGGGGAAAATCCTCTTAATTGTTGCATGTACCCCATTTTCCTTTCCTGAAGAGTCATGTTTAATGTGGATTTTTAGAGATTGCGTCTTAGGAGTGCTGGGCAAGGAAGCAGTGGATGCTCGCCGCGCTAGGCACGTTCACAGGAACGCAGTCCCCAAGTCGTCGTGTTGATCCATTGCACTTCTATGTCAAGTCTCCAAATGCATCCCTGCGATTCGGAGCGTCCTATCCCAGGTCCAGGACAACGTCGTCTAGTGCGGGCGTCCCTCTAAGAGAACCCGGCCACCGGCACCAGCCAGCACCCCTTGCCCCGCTATCCGGGCCACTGCGCTGTCGTCTCTCCAAACTGCCCTGCAGCCCGGCGTTCGCCTACCGCGGCAGTTGCGGGATCGGGCTGGCTGGCTATTCGGGACTAAAAGACCAAGTCTGAGTCCTAGTCTGCAACTTGCAGCTCCCGCAACGCCCGATCCCCTGAGCGCAGTACCGGCGCTCCCGGCGCCCGCAGGCCGCGCAGGGCGGCTGCGTCTCTGCCAGCGCAGCGGAGCTGGGCGGTTTCTCAGAAACTTGCCTCCCTCATCATCTCTCCTCTGGGCTAAGATAGAAGCGAAAGCCACCCTCCACCCCCATTCCTTTCCGCAAGGAGACCCTCCCCATCAATACTTTGCCAACTCCAGAGCGGTGGGGGGACCTGAGCGAAAGGGAGAACCTTTCCGAGTTCGTGGACCCTCCAGGGCAGTAGCCTGCTCCCACCCCCACCCCCACCACGGGCTCCAATGACCCGCAGCCCCGCGCATTTCGAAAGGCTTCCCGGCTCGCCGGCGGCAAGGAGGGCCCCAGTGGCTGCAGGAGGGCCGAGCGCCACTGCTGCTCGCGGGGGTCGCTTCCACCCGTTTCGCGAAGTCCTCTGTCGCATCCCAGCTGCCTAACTCGGGGGCTGAGGCAAGGAGGCACTAGGAAACTGTGGGCTCAGGGGTTACGGTTGGGGGACGGAGGGGACCGTAGAAATCCACAAAAATGGAGCAGGGCAGGCGGCCTTTCTGGCCACCGTGCGCCCACTGCCCCGGCCGCGCGGAGCGACCTTTCCCGGCAGCCGTGGAACGCTGCCTTCACCATTTCATCCTCATCATCCTTAGCGTCAAAACTTGCTCTTCATAAGCTTTTTTAGGTTGAAAAGGTTGTCTTAAAAGCTCGTTTGGGCTCTCCGATCTGTTTCTCAGAGTACTAACTTTTTAAAAATGTCATCTCTTTCACCTGAGCCACACCCTACGCTTGCTCCCCTCCCTCCCGGGCAAATTGAAGGTAAAAATCTTGCAAGCGAAGTGGGGGTAGGGGTAGAGGTGGTGGTGGCGGCGGGAGAGGGCCCACGGTCATGCTAGAACCACCGTCCGAGAGGGAGAACTTCGGGGCTTTGGGCTTGCGTGGGGTGGGTGGGGTCAGCCTCAGACTCCGCAGAACCGAAAGTGTAGTGTTTACACGTAAACTCGTCTCTGTCTTTGTGCCCCTCCCAACCCGCGTACTAGGCCTGTCTCGCGTGGGGACACACAGAGCAGGCAGGAATCGGAAAGTAAAAGCTACAAAAAGAACGCCGACTATTGGGCGCGAAACGTCGAGGCGCCTCGAAAGGAACGTGAAGGAAAAACAGGGAGAATGCGCGCAACCGGGCCTGGGCCTGGGGGATTGCATCAGTGCAGCTCCCCCACCAGAAAATGGGCTCCAAACCGCGGCCACCATCATGGCGCTGGGGCCGGGCCGCGCTTCCCGCGCGCATTCCCCGAGCGCTCGGGCCACGGGCACCGAGCCTCCAGCCAGCGATTTGCAAACATTTCCTCTTTCGCGCGCGCGCGCGCCTGTCTTCTCCCCCACCCCCTCCTTCCTTTTGTGTGCTTGTGTGTGTGCGTGCGTCCGTGTGACTGTGTGTGTGGACTGGAGAACTTGAAGATTGTTTTTTTCCTCTCTTTTTTCCCTCCCGTGCTGGTGGTTGTAAACTTGATTGGCATTGGCTGCGCCCACTGACCCCTGCGCGGAGTCCACTGAAGATTTAAGGTGGATCAGAAGGGCTGCAGCTACAGGCGGAGTCTCGCGCTGGAGCTAGTTTTGGAGGAAAAAAAAGAAGCCCCAAACCCGGCGCCCTCGGAGTTAGTACGCATCCCCTGCGGTACCAGCCCCTGCACGCCCCGCCCGCCGCGCCCGCCGCGCGCTTCCTCCGCCCACCGCCTGCTTCTTCCCCATTGGCCGATGAGTGCAGTTTGAATTTTTTTTGGATGCTTGTTTTCTTCTGAAAAATACAGTACTTCAGATCCTGTGACAAAACCCGCTTCAGCGCCCCGAATTGGGTGTCTGGCTGGTTTTGTGGAAGCGGGAGGGAGGAGGGTAGGTGGAGCTTCTGTTCCAAAATTTTCCCCCAAAGTGCGGTTGACAGTGTGCAGGCGGGTGGGGAGCGTGGGGCCGCCGTCAACAACCAGGAGACGCTTCGGCGGGGCCAGAGATGTAGTATAAACGTTAATGGATGTCCAGGGTGCGCCTTTTCGCGGGCGGCTGGCCAGAGGTACTAGGGAGGCGCCGGCAGCAGCTCTGGCGAGGATGCACCTTCCCCTGCCTTGGAAAGGTAGAATTGGGGAAGGCGGGAGGGTGAAGGTGGCCCGGAAAAGAACACCTCACTAATGGGGGAAAAAAAAGCCACAGAAGAAATGCAAATACGGGAAAAAAGTATTATTTCAGGAGCTACCCAGTCAGAGTTCATCATAATTCAAGCAGTCGGTGTCATTATTACTGATTTTTTTAAAAAAACGTTTTCTGTCTCTGATTTCCAGAGTGTTTTTATATAAGGAAAAGGTTAAAACAAAATCTAGAGAGAGAATGACTTGAAAGTGCCTTTGAGTTCTGGATTCCTATGATAAAGTATTTTAAGGTTTAGAATAATGTTATTTGTAATACAGGTCTAGTACATATGATATCCTTCATTAATTATAAACCAACTGTGTTTTACTTTATGGTGAAAAATTTTAAAGTTTGTCACAATTTAAATTATTCTCCAAATCAATTTATCTCCAGGTTAGTGAAATTAGCATATATACATAGTTTTCGTTTTGCTTTTTTTGAGGGGGTGGGCTGGGGATGGGGGTGAATCTGTTACTCTTGTTGCAGAGTAGCTGACGATTTGAATAAGATGTCAAAGCCCAGCCTTTAGTCTAACAGTTGCTATCCAAACTTCCCAATCCATTTTTTACATAATTCCCCCAATGCTTCCTAGCCCAACTAACTAACCTCTTAAGGTTAGCTGAACCCAACTAAGCTCCTCAGACCTTCATAAGCCAACCTGCTTATGCCCTTAGCAAGGATTTTTTTGAGTTAAGACTGCCTCTAAATAGATGGGCTAGCCTCAGTGTCAGTGAACTCATCTCCCTGGAAGTGGGAGTCAAGCACTAGTCTGGGTGACCCCTTGATAGGGACATTGTAGAAAAGATTCAACTGTCAAATGAATATTAAGATTTGTGAGTTTAAAGTCTATTTCAAACCCTTGAGATTCTGTATTTCCAACATTGGAGTTTCTGGATTTCTACTAAAGTAAGCA